AGATGTACTCCGACTTCAAAGGAAGTTCCCAATAAGTCGACTCTACCGACATGCTTTTTTGCGTAGGTAGTGGGTCTATTCTCGTTTTCCCCCACAATGGGGCCCAGGAATCCACCAATGCAGGAAATGAATAATATATATATACATACACACACACACACACATTATTCAGAAATCTACAACAATATTATCCCTTAGGATCAGTACACCACCCGACTTCACGTAGTCGTGTCATCTATAGTACACTGGCCTTTCCAGCCCGAATTTCTTATGTTTGAATCCGTATCATGTCATATTTTTATTTGTACAACACTGATATTGGCTTCCAGGTCTACCCTGCTTAAAATGGGTACCAGGTTAAGCCCTGGGAAGTTAAGGCGACCGGTATCATGTTGACCACATCACGTGCTGAGTGCTGATTGTTCCATTAAAACATGAGCCTAGCATCCCATGTCCAATACCACTGGACTTAGATGCACTTGGGCGACAGAGTGAGGTCGACGACAACTCTGCATCACTTGAATTAAAATCACAGCGCAAGTGATCTTTTCATCCATGCCTCCAAATCCCAACTTCCATGGGCAGGTCATATAGTCCGCATGCCTGACCAACGACTGCCAAAAAGAATCACTTTTCTTTTACTCTTACACATTTAGCTCTGATTTCCTTGTGTATCTTGTCATATTCATGAGATTGCTAAATTATCTAAATTATGAAATGACTAAATTATCTCAATTATGAGATTGCTGCGTTATCTAAATTATGAAATTGCTAAAATATCTTAAACAATCAAAGTGAGGTAGTTGCTAAAACATCTAAAAAAAATCATGTTGAAGTAGTAATAAACTTTCTTGTTATGATCTCTTAATAAGCAGCACTTCAAACAGGTTAAATCTCTTGTTAGAACACTTAAGAAACAATATCTCACTTCTAAAGACACGGTTTGCCCCAAATAGCATCCATCAATCTGTTATCTTCATATATGACTTGTCTAGTGTTTACAGACCTTTTTTTGAAAATCGCTGTTTATGATCAACATTTGGTTTGGCTTAAAAAGAAACACTTTTATTGCACGTTAATACCTTGCTAAGTAACTATGACTCCTACTAAATACAACATAATAAGAATCATGTCATATGCAGGAAACCCTTGCCGTCGATACAGAATGGCACTTGTTATAAAAATACTTCAGGAACGGGATGCATCTTTCCTATCTGGAATAAGTCAATCAATTTTTCCCTTTGTGTCGCTAGCTATAGGTTTACGTACCATCTAGAGTTTAAAAAATTATTAACCTGATGGTAGACCAACAATGCAGATCCTAGAAACCTAATTCATTGTCAAAACAATTTACAGGACACCCGTAGGTCAGCCACAGCCAGGTATAACCAGAGTCCCGTTCGGGTGAGGGCAACTATTATTTGAAATCTTGATCCACAAGAGGTATGTTTGGTCCGCTGTTTCCTGCCATGCCCTCCGAGTAAGGGCAACACTTATATGAAATCTTGCTCCAAGAGAGGTATGTTCAGTCGGTTTTTTCCTTCAGTGCCGTCCGAGTAAGGGCAACACTTATTTGAAATCTTGCTCCACAAGAGGTATGTTCAGTCCGTTGTTTCCTTCAGTGCCGTCCGAGTAAGGGCAACACTTATTTGAAATCTTGCTCCACAAGAGGTATGTTCGGTCCGTTGTTTCCTGCAGTGCCGTCCGAGTAAGGGCAACACTTTTTTGAAATCTTGCTCCACAAGAGGTATGTTCGGTCCGTTGTTTCCTGCAGTGCCGTCAGGTCTGTCCGCAGTTTTCAGTTTCTAATGCTGATGTTCTCGCTTCCACTGTCTCAGTCACAAACACATTCGTGTCGTATGGTGTAAGTCCCTAGGTTCATTTATAGCTTTTGCTGTGCGAGGCAGATAATGATAAGATGATGCCGGTAGAGTACAGTTCATTTAAGGAAACAGATACAGAGACAAAAAAGAACACTTTGGATGAACACAGAGCTGATTAAAAAAATTAAAACACACAAGTAAAATATGTTAGTCATAGTCAAACACACAACAGTATTTATTTTGAGGGGGCTGCGTGGTATGGAGGTATGGTGTCCGCCTCGAGTGCTAGAGGTTGCGGGTTCAAACCCCGGTGAAGGCTGGGATTTTTTCTGTTCACGTGGACTTCTATTAATTTTTCTTAGTCTCTGGATAGTGAGATTGGACGCTCGTGTGTATTGTTTCGCACGATAAATATCCACTGGCAGCTGGAAATCGAAAAGAGTAGCCCAACGGCGCTGCCCGCGCAAAATTTGCAGTTAAAAATCTACCTAAAATATTCTTGCCCGTGCACTGCACTGAGCTACTTCGGACTCAGACTTCAGTAAGAAGTAGAGAGGAACACTAACGCCATGATGTTGATCCGTTGCTGAAACATTAGTATTTCAAAAATGCATTCATTAAAACAGAAGACATGCCAGCAAGAAATAGGCAACAATCCACATAAGAAAATAGCTTCCAAGAAATTTATGAACATCCAGCTAACTTAAAAAATCGTTCCTACATTATTGTTAATCCTCGTCCGCATATCCGACGCATGTTTCGTAATTTTGAAGCCCACCCTGATTGTTGCCGGGGGCCCTAATATGCCATAACGGTTGAACAGGGTTTCTAGGACCTCTCCAGGAGTGATTCTTATCCAAATGGTGGCACTTTGTGTCACCTGGTGTTTATCGCTCAGTGTGATGTCCTGGTGGGATAAAAAGTCAGTCTTTTCCCACATTCTGAGGTAACTGGGCATATTTTACTAGCAATATTGACTATAGACCAAGTTTCACTGACCTCCTCAGGGATTTATATTTACAAATTATAAGTTCTTCAGTTAGACTATTAAAGTAAAATATGGGTGCTGTGGCAGATCTTGAAAAAAAAGGGAGGTCCTCAGGTTTCACCTATCTAAGAATCGCCTATCTGTACTATTCTAGCTCTTCCAGTTTTGGGAGTCGAAAGTATAATGTGTGTATTCAAACTCACTAACTACTACTTCACCCTCAATATAAAAGTTCATTAAACAATTCATATTGTAATAAAAACCGTATCGCCATAATTGGTTATAGGTAGATTAAACATATTGAAAGATCTTTCCAATCGTTCAACTATGTATTTGATTATTTAGCACGAACGTTATGTTTGATCGATCAGTGTGTTCCATAAATCATTTATAATTATAGCACAGCTCTGGAAGCAAACAAAAGCTTGCACGGGGAAACCCGATACTGGCTTTGACATGTATCCTGTATTTGGTACAAGGACAGCGTTCAATACAATTATGATAATTCAGCAGTTTGTGGTAGATTTAGATTTCCCAATGGCGGTGAAACTGGTGTTTTATATGTGTGAACTACATGTATTATTCTCTGTTGTGAGGTAGCTCAAATGTAAATAAACGTTTAATCAACATTATACATGGCAAAAAAAGTTGATTGCAACAATAAACCTTGTTTCCTGATTAAACGTTCATTTACATTTGAGCTGTCTCACGACAGTGTTTCCCTGCATATCATTTTGGACAGATTACAATAGGCACATAGAGGCTGTAACTTGAGTCAGCAGGAAAGTATATTTTACTAGAGGCAGAAATATGACAGCATTTGCTAGAGATTCCGTCAGGATTAAGCTGATTCTCTGATTTATCCCCCTAATATTATATAATATTAAGTGAATATGAAACAATATGAAGTGAATCATGGATAGTTGATCGAAAAGGGAAAAAATTTTTTGGAAGCTCCGGAGATGTGGTTTTACAGACAAATGATGAAAATGCCCTGGACAGATAAAAGAAGAAAATAAAGATGTCTTGAAAGAAACCGACCCACGAAGAAATTTGTTTACCCCCATCAGAAAGAGACATTCTACATTTGTTCATTTCATGAAAAGGAGAAAACTAGAGTTCATCGTGACAGTGCAGAAGCTGGAGGGGAAGAGAGGCAGAAGGAGACTGTGAGAAAAATGCTGGACAGTCTGACATCATGGCATGGAAGATCATTTGTGTCAAAACAGATTGGAAGTACACGATACAGAACGTTTGGTATTGACATGACTACCAACGCTAGACTGCGTGGACTATAAGAAGAATGGTGTATTCGTTGCACTGTGCCCAAGCCCCTCAAGTGTTATGTCCTTGTTCGCGTTTCCCTAAAGTAGCAAAGAAACATTGTGTACTTTCGTGAAATGTAATACTCAGTCTTGACTTGTTTGGATAAGGAATTCATTTGCGTACTTTTGACACATCGGGAGTCGCTGTGGTTTAGCGGCTAGATGCTCGCCTGGGGATCTGAATGAAAGTCATGGGTTCGGCTCCTGACGAAGCCAGACATTTACAAAAAATGATTATGTCTCAGAGGCTGACCATGCTTTGAAAGTATGCCAGATATAGTCCTAGGAAGTAAAGGGGGTCGGCTTGATGTTAATGACAGCACACACGGAGTCCCGATTGGTTTGAAAAATATAAGTCTAGCTCTTTAGACCCTATTCACCCGAAGGCGTGGAAAAGTCTCCTTCACTTTACTTTTGGCATAATGTAAAGTAGCACACAACAGCCCTGAAATGTAATTAGGTAACTGTAGCCTAGTGTTCGCTGCCAAAAATCTTTCCTTACTGCCTATCATACTACTGTCGTGATGTAGGCGAAAGGGGAGAGGGAGGAGGCTTTAAGTATGAGGTTCTAGGGCCGCCGCATGGCTAGTGCAGTTGCCACTTACTTTGCAGTTCAGGAATTTTTTTTACCTCTGAGAGAAAGAAAAATGTCCATCCTTACCAAGGATTCGAACCATGTTCGTGCGTTCTGATCCGTTCATCCGGCCCCTGCCCCGTAATACTAACGATATGTAAAAATTTGCAATAGCAATTTGAAGGGATTCCCCATAGGCATGTTTAGTATATAGTATATTCTGGAATACTCCAACATGTTCCCATTTTCATGGGCCCATGTGACTATGATCGTTATTCAGTCAGGACACACTAACAAATTAACCCTTGATTTTCTGGGGCACTGCCGATGTTATCAGCATCCAGGTAGGAAGATGTCATGCTGCAGTTAATGTTATTCTCATTGAAGATGTCTGAAGTACTGTCTGATATATCGTCTGCTTGCAGGTGAACCATGGCGTATGCCGTCCATGTATTGATGCTCTTGTTGTAACTTGTGACGTCTTCTTGGTAGCTACCAGTTTCAGACACGTTGTCTCGGCTGTTATCAATCCTTGGGAAACTCGGGTCATATCGATCTCTTTCTTCAGCTGCTAACTTTGATTCACTATCTTGTGACATTTCTTTCTCTCTCCTTTCGCAAACATTGTACAGTGATTCGAAAAATTCCCGTCTTAACTGCAGCATGGTTGCTCTGGCAGCGGATACATTAGCATTGTCTTGTGTTTCCGAGAAATGAAAGTAGGCATCTTCTTGTGATGTAAACAGATCGTCGCCTTCAGATGACGTAACAAAGCGGTCAGTGTCGGGAGACGTTAGGATCCCTTCAGGTGAGCTAAATGACATTGGCGACCCTGTTCCAACAGCCTGGCACGAGGTGTCGTCTGATGATGACATTTCCGTTTCACACTCCGTGACACTCATACTCTTGGTTCCATCGCTGAGCAGGCGAAGGTCTCTGGGAACTAAGGCTTTCTGCCATAGAATAAAGTTCTGATGTTGGTCTGTGACGCTAGGTTTTATTGCGCAACAGTCGTCATCTGTAAACGATTTCCCTGCATTGTCTGCAAAAGAAAGGTCTTCAAATATGTCTGTATCTGTAAAAGTTGTCGACGATCTTTGCTGCCTAACGTTTTCGATGCTAGCCTCATTACCTTTGTCTAAATCTCTCACCAGTAACCGATTTCCTCTATCGTTATTTTTTGTATAAAGTGGCGATCTGCTAACAGAAGCTAAGTTATTTCTGCCAGAAAATAAATTACTATTGTCGTCTATTACTTGCAACCTCGCAAATAACCCACCAAAACCATACAGGGTTTGAAAATCAAAGGGATGCAATCCAAATCCAAACTGGTCTTCTGATTCCATGCCCATATCCCAATCATCCTCTTCAAATTGGTCTTCAAAGCTTATATAGGTCTCATTTAGAGTCTCACTGTTTTCAAAGTCTTCACAGGCCTCTTCAAACGACTCAAAACCGGCAACGTTTTCTAAAACCGAATCCATAACAGATTCATACCAGCCACAATATCCACTTGTTTTGAAAGAACTGACTTCGCTACAGAATATATGAGCCATGACCGGATGTGTGTACACTTCGTCCACAACATTGTGAAGCTGGAGCGAGATATTCGAGTCACTCAAAAGGTAAGGTTCTGCTGTCGATACTGGCTGTATTTTGATTACTGGAAGTCTACCTACAACATCTGGACTAGTTTGAAGAAGCTGGAACTGCTGAGTTACTTTAGTGGGAACCACAGGGATTTCATAGCCATGGTCGCTCTCTGGAGTGTGGAAAATTCGCGTTTGGTTACCAGTAAACTGTTCGCTTCCAAAGAGGTTCAGATATGACCAGTCAATGTCTGGAGTCAAGCTGCGGTTGTCTATATTCTCAATGAGAGCTTCTGAATCTAAGTCACTCTCTATACTGAAATAATAGTTCTCTCTTCCCAGTCTGCGGAATGTACCAGGGGACCTCCGGCTGCTAGCAGGAGAGCCAAGGACTTTGCTGTAAACGGCCCTCGCAGAAGAACGTTTTAGAAGTGGGCTTGCGAGAACATTTTGGTTTTGCACTGACGACTCGTAGTGCGTCTGTAGGCTTTTAGACAGAGACCCTCCTATAGTACAGTATTTATGACTTGGGCTGCTGGAGATATAGCTTTTCTCAGGAGTCGGACAGCTAATTCTGTGAGGTTTACCGTCCTGCAAGGCAGCTCTGCTAGAGGTGGAGGACTTCAAAATGTCATACATTGATGTCTGTAAATGAGGGCTTTTATGACCTGGAGAAATAATAGGGGAACGCTGTTCAGTAGGAGTCACAGGCTGAAAAGACATATTATAAACTGATGTGACACCGTGTCTTTGTTTAGCTGCCGTCTGTTTATTTTCTGTTGATTCGTTGTCGTGAAAAAGTAGTTTGGAAAATATTTGCAGTGGTTTATTGAGTAAACTCCTTCGCTTTAGTGGTGAGCTATTCTGTAAATGCAAGCCGCCAACTGAAATCTTCTTTACATCACATCCCTCGTTTGTCGGCTCAGTATCTGAAGAAGCGACTGGGTTGCTTTTAATAGTTGGATAAACTATAGCAATACCTCCACTTGGAGAAACGATATGGCTACTTTCTTTGGAGAAGTGACTGAAGCTTCTGGATGAACAAGGCAACCGTGCATCCTTCTTTTGATCTAAACTAATGGAGACTCCGCTTTGGCATATGGGCTGCTCATAATCCTGGGAGTTTGGTTCTTCTGCAGGTGAGTCTCTGCGAAACGCTTTGACTCGCACGACGCTATGACGGGAACAGTTGTTTGTCGCCGGCATATTTTCTGATGCTGAACTTTTCTCAGAATCGACTTGTGAGTATATTGCGTTGTGTACAGATCCTGTGCACAGTTGAGTTCCGTGCACAAAATGTGGTCTGCGGACACAATACTGTGATCTGCTGGGGTTATCTGAACCATCCAGGTGTGCCCCGCACTGCTTGTCGATTTGATCAGTCACAGTATCAATCTGTACCACGAGAGATTGGATATCCCCCATGATACCTTGTAAGTCGTTGATCACGTGCTCCATGTTGGCTACCATGCTTCTCACCACACTGCGCATGGCTTGACTTTCTCGTTCAAGTGGGCGGCTATCTTCACCCGAGACATTTTGCTGTGCTCCTTGTGGATTATCCGTCATTGTTTGAGCAAGCTCAGTTGTCAGCATCCATCAGTGGGGCATAATGGAAAATCAACCAACAAGTTGTGTGCCACCTGACTATCCCTCTGAAAAGAATGATCAAGCTGAGGGCCCAGGTTGCGTCACTCGAGAGTGTTTCGACTTCAGTCGTCAATTTTCATGCAACCTGTGTATCAACTTACGTCAGCGGGGCCCACTCTGAAATCAGCCATCCACTTTCTTGCAACCTGGGTGTCAGCTCACGCTGGACACAGTCTGAAATTAACTATCTACTTTCCTGAACCTAGGTGTCAGCTCACGTTGGACGCACTCTGAAATCAGCCATCTACTTTCTTGCAACATGGGTGTCAGCTCACATTGGACGCAGTCACAAATCCATTTTCGTGCACCTGATGTCACTGGGGCCTAGTCTGGAATCAATCATCAATGAAACATGATTAACCTGTGTGTATTCTTGGGTCGTACGTTCAATAATTAATAAGCATTGATCGAAATTTTGTTCTACTTCTTTGCATTCACTGGCTATTATCTCCGTGGAAAGTTCTGGTTGTTCGTCCCACCTGTGGACTTCAGTCCCGTTCCAGAACTTGAGTGCTGCCTGCACATTCATCTACAGATCTGACTTATTTGTATGCAGACTGTTGGTACCTGGACACTCAGGCAGATGCATTTAGACTTTAAAAAAAAAAAAACCCTAATCAGTCGACTCCTACGACATGCTTGTTGGGGGGGGGGGGGTATTATTAGTAGTTCCCCATAATGGAGCCCCGGAACCGACATGTGCACTTAATGATAGGAAATAAAGACGTAAAGAAATAAATAGGAAACACACCATAACCGTTGAAATACAAACAATGTGTATATTCAGATTTTACTCTGCGGTTAGCAGTAACACTCTATTGAAGCACATTGCAGTAGTATGAGAGACAGAAGGATGGACGAACAAACAACCATATTGACAAGGGGGCCGTCCACAAGATACTGTGTTTAAATAATGCTAAAACAAATGTATTGCCAGGCATGTTTCACTGTGCGGCGTCCGTGGCTTGGGCGTTGCGAGTCCGAATCGTAACCCAACGTACCGCGATCGAAACCCACTGCTGGCTGCGTGGATTTTTATCATGGTATGGGTCGTCGCAGGTCGACCCAGCCTAAAATGAGTACTAGGATGGCTGTCCTGGGGAAGTAAAGACGACCGGCGCTGACACATTACCCATCCAGTGCCGATTGGTCAGTAAAAAATATGGGACGCTCTGCCCATACGATACGCCTAAGGCGTTGAAAGGGATCTTTACTTTACTTTTACTTTTTATATTTCGCTGTATCTCGTCAAATGCTTTAGGGCAGAGTTACATCAACATATAAGGAAGTTCAAAAACTGAATAAATTGTGCAATATATTGTTTCTGTCCGCATTATTTAACTTCCTTACGGCAAAACATTGTTTTAAATAGTGGGTACATGAATTATATCAATTAATGAATGAGAAAACAAAATAATCCCTCCAGCCTTAAATATTTAATATTTTTAGAATATTTAAAACAGATTAACAGCCGTAAATAGAAATCAAAAAGAAAATATGAAAGGTTGAAAATACACGTATAAACAACAATAGTGAGCAATAATAAAAATTAAGGTTATCAATAAAACATTACAAAAGAATATATGCGGGTGTGTATGTGTGCTTGCGCGTGCGCGTGCGTGTGTGTGTGTCTATGGACAAGCAGTTTAGAATTTGCTGCATCTGCACTAACTTGTGTTGGCATACATTTAGTAATTGCAATGTAATGTGTGGACTTTCACGAATACAATAAGAAATCATCTGTGATCAAATTCGTATTCGTAGAACAATAGACACTCTACAAGAAGTCTGTCATAAATCTCTGGTACTCATAATTTGCATCGTTCCTTAAAGATATGGCAGAAAGATAGGAAACCAACAAACACAAGTATTTAGTTCTGCACAACTTAGTGGTGATTTAACGCATAAAATGACAAATATCGCCAACGGCACATTTGGGGGTTTATTAATAATGTGGAAGGGTGAAAAGGTCATCATGGCCTGGAGAGAATGATGCAGCAGGCCGACTATCAACACTCCGAAGGAAGGCAAGATGGAAAAATAATCAAACGGCATCTATCAGTATTATTATTGCAACTCTGCTCTGACCTCCGAAGATGGGGAATGAACGCCTATGGGAATGTCTAGAGTGATGAAGATGTGTATTTGATCCTAGTGTCTTGTTAGTTTTACTAAAACCTAGTCCTTTTCAGGACTAATATCCAAAGAGAAGTAAAGAAAAATGGAATAGTTGAGGTAATCATGCCTTCCGTTTTCACAGAGATAGTCCCTTATTTTTTTTTTTTCGGTGTCTCTTGGCCGTTCTCACGGTACGCCTAGTACATATTCTTATATTCCTACAATGCATTAATTCCGTAAATAATAATAATATAAAAAAAAATATAATAGTAATAATAATAATAGTAATATTAACAATAATAATAATAGTCTTTCCTCTTGAGCATAGCGTGCCGCATAGAGCAGAGGTCATAGCTCTCCATGTCTGGCGGTTCGTTGCCACCTGCTGTAGGTTTTGGTTGTCTATTTGGCCCTTGGTTGGGTTTTCTCTGATGTTGGTTTTACGCTACACAGGGTCCCTCTTGGTCTTCCCCGTTTTCTTTTTGCTTCCCTGGTCCACGTGAGGGCTTGATTGGGGAAGGGGAGGGGGGAGTTCTTATCTATTTTGGATGCATGGCCGATGTAGTTCCAGCGGCGCTTTCTTATAAAACTGGATACATTATACTGCTTGGTCTCCTGTTGTATTTGCGTATTGGATCTCAAATCTGTCCAGTAATAATAATATGATAATAATAATAATATTAATAATAATAGAATAATAACAATTTTAATTGTTTTTGGAAGGGGAAAGGGGTCTAAATAGACTTGCGTGGGATGTCCGGTTTCAGCTCAGAATACTAGTAGGATGTCCGATTCAAAAGAAATGGCAAACTACTAAACGTAAAATTTGCCCAGAAAGCCACAACAGACAAACAATGCTGGAGCTGGTTCTGGAAAGTCCTGAAAAGGATAAGCAACTAACTTTAAGCTAGTGGGATGTCCGGTTTTCAGCTCAGAATGTTATTGGGATGTCCAGTTTTCAGCTCAGAATGTTATGGGAATGTCCAGTTTTCAGCTCAGAATGTTTTTGGGATGTCCGGTTTTCAACTCAGAATTTTAGTGGGATGTCCGGTTTTCAGCTTAGAATATTAGTGGATTGTCCGATTTTCCGCTCAAGATATTATGGTCACCACTGGGTATAGTAAATAGCAACACGTCGTCGTCGAATACCCCAGCCGAGACAGATGACAGTGAAACTATGAAAAGAATGATAAACAATAATGACAGAACAAACACACATAAAACACAAGAGCAGTTAATATAATATAAATTCCCCTCCCACATACTTTTTTGTGCTTCGATATATGTAATACAAACGGTGAGGGACAACGAAAACGAGGTTCGGGTCCAGAAAGCAGCCCAGCAGTCGCAGCAGGGCCATTGGGTCAGCCTGGAGAGCGCATTGCCAAGAGTACTCACATGGGGTGAGATCTGGCGGATGACCCCGCTGCGACTGTGCTTTATCGTTAGTTCGGCGTACGATGTATTACCGTCCGGTGTTAACATGGTTAAATGGTCTGCGACCAACGACCCGACTTGCCCGTTGTTGCAAATCGAAGCAAACTCTTGAGCACGTCCTGTTCGCGTGCAGAAAAGCCCTAGGTCAAGGCCGTTATACCTGGCGACACAACAAGGTGCTAAAAGAGTTAGCAGCCGTTGTCGACCAGGCTAGAATGAGGGCTAACGCCAGAGCCAGTTCTAGCATCGTCCCCATTCGTTTCCTCAAGGCTGGGCAGGTTCCCAAAGGTAAGGTCAACCAAAACGCATTCGCTCCATCTGTGCTAGACTTTGCGAGGGACTGGTTACTGGCGGTTGATCTGCCAGGCCATGAACGGTACCCCGAGTTGATCCGTAAAACCGGCCTGCGACCGGACATCGTTCTCCATTCTGCGCAAAAACGGCAGCTCATCCTGATTGAGTTGACTGTCCCCGTTTGAGTCGCGTATGGAGGAGAATCATTTGTACAAGCTCGAGAAGTACAGTGATTTAGCAGCCGGTTTGAGGAGAAACGAGGCTTACACGGTACGGGTATTTGCCGTCGAAGTGGAAGCGAGAGGCCTCGTTTCCACTTCGCTCTACAATGTGGTGAAAGAACTAGGATTGCGCGGTAATGAACGGAAACGAACACTCAAAAAACTGGGAGAGGTAGCCGAAAGGGCCTCTAGCTGGCTTTGGACGCAGCGCAACAACGTAGGGGACGGGCCTCGGTGAGCTGGTCCAGGTGTCTAGTGGAAAGGAGTTTCTCATCCCTTTGAAAGTCCATCGTGTCCGAATTGTCTGCCAGTGTTCCTCTGCCAACTGCTAATAAAAGTCCAACATGTGTCCGGTAAACCAAAGTAAGCTTGTCGCTAGGTCGTCCAGGCATGCCGACTGCTTTAATTAGGCTGCCGCGGCGGCTTCTTATCTCACAGTACCTCCTTCGAAACCACCAAGTCGTCTTGTCTCTGGCCGAAAGTAAAACACCATCCGGTAATCCCGTGCAGCAGGGAACCAGCCCTGAGCTTCATCAACTCAGGAGGGCCCACCTCCGAATGCGTCTAGAAATAGTGGGCCGAAACGCGTGTCGACGAGGATAATTTCTACTGATGACAGGTAGATCCCTGCTGTACTTGCTTCCTGTGAGTTTATTCCTATTGATGTAACTTTGTAGTCACGTATCTGACAATATACAGTGAAATATGCCTGTATAAAAATTTTGCTAAGTATTCTTCGTGTCTGCATTATCTAAATTCATTACGGGAAATCATGGTTTTAGATTTTGTTGAAAGTCGCTTGAAATAGGTGACTGGTTTTCTTTTTAAGTAACGAAGCGAGTAAGGGTAGGAGATCCGACCTCTCGCCTACTAGTA